CAAAGATTCCTCGGAGATAAAGTTTGTTTTCGAATTTGAAAGAAAAAATTGTAGTAATTCATAGCATTACAAAAGCTCAATGCGCTCATGTTCAGGTCACATCTTACGGAGGAAAGATGGAATTTGAAATTCAGTATAGTGGAAGTGGTTCGATGAGCCGTGAACCTATGGTGGTTCTGAAGGTTTGGAATATAAATCCTTCCAATATCTAAGCTTAAATCGTACACTTTTATAATTCAAGTAGAGTTTAGAAGTTCTTAGATTTTCAAATAGAAGTCGCCGTTCAATGGTATATGTTGTTGAAACCAACTCTTCAAGATCTTTCACTTTTCATCAAAATTGTTATGCAGTGAATTCCAAAATCAAAACATTTAAAGAAAATCGCTGAAGGCAGAGCTACGATATGTGTGCAGTGATATAAATAAAGCCGTAATTTTAATTGCAGTGTTATGTAGTTCACTCTAAGGCTATCTGCAGAGGAATTAACTTTTTTTGCCAATCTCATGTTAATACTCTCATGGCACCTCTTCAGGGCAACCAAATCGTCCTTGTACATCATGTTCGTAACCAGGAACAGCTTCTGTCATCAGATAGACCAGCTACCATAACTGTAGAAACATATGAGGTATAAATCCTTCTAGCATTTTGATTTCCAATTAGTGAAAGCAATTGCTAGATGTTCAGACGAACTTTGTTCAATTAAATGGAGCTCCTGCTACACGCGAAGATTTGATGATGGTTTTGGCGGATCTTGACGCTTTCCTCATCCGAGCAACACATGTTGATCAACAACAGTCTAGCAGGTAGATATCTACTTTTAGAGAAGATTAACTTCTGCTTGGTTTTGCATATTTCTTGTCGATACAATGAGTAACAATCTGGGTAAATCTGTATTTCGCCAATTTCGTAAATTCGCTAGAAGTTTCGTAACCATATATAAATTGTGATGTTAGCGGCAACCACGATAGCACTGATTAGACAAGATCTTTGTTATGAGAGGTGTGCCACATTAAGAGGATGTCTTGGGACAGATTGTGACGGTAAATCGGATAGGAGACATATGCGGAGAGAATGTAATCACGCTCTGATGCAAAGCGAGTTTATTGAAAGGCATCGCGCAAATTGACGATAGTGAAGTGTGAATGAGAGCATTTCGAAGTGAGATACGGGCTGTAATAAGCATTTAAGCTCGTGAAGGGTTTGAACTGCAATATTCAATGAGATGTTGTAAAAGCGCGAAGATAAAATGCTTCCAGATGATAACTCGCATCTCCCTTTCATGTACGTCCTCCATCTCCAGATTCGCTGAGTACTGCTCGATAAGGCTTTCGGCCAGACCAAACCATGTTCCGCGAATTTTCCGCTGTCCACTTGGCACCCATGTAACTCGCTGTTTGCGACCGCCACTTTTCCGAGCAAATATTAGAAGATAATCCTAGAATTAGTTAATCACACTTTTAAAAAAGTTAAGCTCAGGGCTAGTTTTACAAGAAATCAATTAAAAACTATCTTTCAAGCTATCTCATTGAATGTCTTACGAATCAATGTAAGGAATTAGGGTGTGCAAAATTTAGCACAAATTAGCATATTGATATGAATCGAATCTTTGTTAATTTAAATTTTATTCCTTTTGAGATGTAAAATTGCTATTAAGATTGTCTAGAAGGACTCACAAATTTTGAAGCTTGCAAGTTTGAGCCTTAGAATAGTGAATGACGTGATCTTTCTGAGGTAATGTGATAATCAACGGTTTGTGAAGTGAAATTCTCTTCCTTGGTGTTTCCTTCTCCGAAAATTTACTCTCATGTACTCCCAATTTCGCATAAAATGTAATTATTGCTTACAGAGAAATGCACGAATTGGCCGGACCTTTAAGTGTGACTTAAACTTTGTAAGTTTTTCTCTGTCAGAGCAGCTTGCATGATACGTCAATAAGTGCTCACTATGGAAGCTAAACGCAAGTGATAGCTTTTGATTGAATTAATGTTTTCATCACAACTAAAATTTATTGATGTTCTCTGTCAAAGTTGAACTTCAAGGCAGTTTTTATAGGTCATGTATGTCAGTTTTGATACGCAAAGCTAAGCATTTTAAAGAAAATATTCCATTATTCCGTAAGTGGTGAAGGTAGAGTAATATAGATTATACAGATTTATTCAGGACGTATTTAGATTGTGTAAACTTCCTGAACGCCACTCTATTCATGACTTTTCCACTTTAAAGCGGACGCCTTATAATTTTATCTGCTAACATGAGAGCTCGAAGTTTTTTTCTAGCGATAACTTCGCCACAGTTCCAAAATTTTTGTTTGCAAAAATCCTATTGCAGAACAAACAGCGATAGATAAATTCTGGTTTTTTATTATCACATGTTCACCACGGTCATTAAGCATGAGTAATTGTTTCTCATGTCACTCTAAAAATGCGCGATTTTGTGTCATCAAAGTGGCATGAGAAACGATAGCTTTACAACAACTGCCAGAGCTGCAAGAACCCGTGTAATTGTTTTCTGGCGTAGGGAGCTTTTGCATCTCGCTATTAAAATTTAGCTTATGAAAGGTGAATAAATTATTTTGAAGTTTCTTATACAAAAAAAAACGAGGAAGATTCAGAACCAAGTTTTTGGAGGAAGATTTTTTGATGTTCATTTATGGAAATACATTAAAAAGTTATTAGAATGGGAATACAAGCGATTTCTCAAATTTGCAAATATAGCTGCCAATGCACGGCACTTAAACGCAAACCTTATTATCAATAATTTGCGCTCTTCTTTTGATCCCATCCATCACACCATCAAGCATCTCCTCTAGGCGCATAGCTTCTTTCTGGATCAAATCATAATCAGCCACTTCTGCAACTATTACATTTCAGATTT